TGCATTAAAGTTTACCTGCCAGGTGTTTTTCCAGTCTTGAAATCTAAATATTTGGTAATGTACTTTGGAGCTGCCACAGGGTTTGCCAATCATGCTATTGTGTATCATTAGCAAATCTTGATTATGAATATAAATTAGGAAGACCAGTGGTCCTAATACAGTTGCCAGTGTTACTCCACTAATAAACACCTGCAAGGGGATCACTTACCCATTATCCATTCTGTTTTAGATGTATTAACCTGTTCTCAATCCAATCAAATGCAACAACTTAAACACTGCTGCTTGCAATTCAAGAATTAATCTTTTGTGAGGAACGTTGGTAAACTTCTGGAAAAACTAAAGTTGCCACTATGTGCTATGTGTGTCTATTACCATTTCTTCTTGAAAGAACAAGCTACTTTTTGTAAATCTATGCTGACTGTCCTCTTGGATCCTATTTTCATATACACTATCCTTTAGTTCAATTAAGTATCATTAGCGAATGATGATAATATTAAACAACATTTTTACAGTATAACCTCAGACATTATAGACATAAGACTTAAAGGCCTATAACCGGTTTAGGTTTGTCTCTTTTTTTAGGTCAATGGCTATTAAGCCCTGTCTTGAATCCCTATGAGAAGAGATCTGTTATAATATTCCAGTAATCTACTACAGTGTTCTTATTTTTCTTGGTTCACAATTTTAGAAGAGAAACAATATTTTTTTTGCCTTTAATTAACACTGTCTACTGATGTCTGTTACGTCTGTTACAATATGGAGTACTTCTGAATTGTACTGATCTCTTCCTTTCACAACTCCATTTCAAATGGCTTAATATTAGGCAACCTGCTGTGTTCCTGGCATAACCTCAGACAGTCAAAGGAAGGCATGCAATGGACTGTGTGAGCAGTCTAGCCGCTCATTTGTGCTTGCACTCAACAGAAAGGAAGAGTTATATGTCAATTTAAGAACAGACAGCAGTTTCTCTTTTTCTGACAAGCCCTGTAGGCACCTGGTCAGTCAAAAAAGGGTCACCCTTGTGCAGTGAACAGAGGGTTTGCTAGCTGACTCTACACTGCCAAGCAAACAACTTACTTTTAAAGCTATATGCTGTATTTAAGGTGTTTCTTACTTATCTGTACTTCACGGCCTTTCTGAACTCTAGGCTATTAGGTAGGGTTTAGAATTCTTAACAACAGTATATGGAAACCACTCTGGGGTCAGTAGTGTACATCAATAAGAGGAAATGGGAATTGCCCATCACACGGAGTAATTATAAGCTTTTGAAAACCATGTCACTATGGAAAATAATGCATCAACATCCAAAGTCAATGTGTGGCTTTTAGGAATCTGCAGGCTACCATGATGTACCTATTTATTCCCATTATGTTTCCCCTTTGTTTCTTAATTATATTCTGCTTGCGATTTCTGCTTTCTCCTTCATTTATCAAAACAAAATGCTTTTTGAGAGTCCTGAGACCGAGTGCAACAGTGAGCAAACCACACTGTGCCTAAGTTGGTGGTCCCTGCAGGACACTATTGACGCACTCTGGCAAAACTGCAGACTTCACACCGCAACTGTTTGTGCTCCGTCTGAGCGGCGCACACAAGATGGGCTTCCGTTTGTATTATTAGAAATTGCAGTGCATTTCCCGCAAATAGTAAAAAAAAAAATCAGAAAAACATTTAAAAAATTGGACTGACAGTTCATTAATTGGAGTTTCAAAAATAAACTTAACGAGCGTTCATGTAAACTGAGGAAATTCAAAGGAAGTAATGAAAGATTTCTTCACTGTGTCAATAATTACAGAATTCATATGAAGTTATTACTTGGAATAGAACTAGAAAGTGGCAGTCATCATGATGGCTCCGTAAGAAAAGAATAGTACATATACTTCTTCCTTATCCAATCTGATTAGCAAACTTTAGATGAACAGTTAACAGATACACGTTAGATTAAGACATAATGTAGATACTGTATTTATCTGATACAATGGCTCAAAGAAGGCAAGTATCTAGACTGGTTTTCAAGAAGAAAAACAGTCTAATTTCAATTTTTACATTACATATTCAGTTTGTCTAAGAGATTCAGAAACTCTCCTACAAAAAAAAGCATTCAGACACAAGGGAACACATTATAATGCAGTAAGCCTTGCAAAAGCTACATAAAAACGTTCATTTGATTGTCTGGATTTGACTGATAAAATGACTGACTTGCGTGGATTTACGCATGACATTTCCATGTGAATTAACCGTCAGGATATTCCAATTACACAATCAAGTGAAGAACAGCTTTATTTGATTAGGACCAACAAGGAAAACCTGAACATCAGGTTATGTTTGAACAAGTCCTCTACTCTCTTGCCAGGAGGATCAGTATTGCCAATTCTGCCCACAAACTACTGATTAATCAAAGTAAAAAAAAAAACCTTGCAGCTGTACAGGTTTAAGGGGGTAATCACCTTAGACAGCTGTTTCTCTCACCACCTCCCAGAAAACACCATCCCAATTCCAAAGAATCAAATTATTTTGTGCAGATCTAAGATCACACTGTTCAGAAGACAGGGCAAAGAGCAGCGAGATTTCTGTGAGACTTAGAAGACAGCAATGCCAAGCCCTTATGGTACCCTCTGTGGCATGAGAGCCGAGCTCAAGAAACACAAACCACTCAAAGCTTTTGAGGAGAATGGAATGGAAAGTTGAGCAAAGCACTGTTACCCTTTTGAATGCATTTCTAAGGTTTTACTTGGCTCATTAAAATAAGAGAGGGGTGAGGACAAACAGACCGTGGGCTGAAGTCATTATAGAGAGAGTACAATCTCAATTTCACTCTCTCCTGGTGCAATGCTCTATTAAATTTAACAGAGAAATCAATGTGTTCAAAATACAACCAAAGCAATAATGTTTAAATTAAATAAATGAATTGCATTTAACTGGCAAACTGACAGGTTTCAAAGAGGGTGGGAAACAGTTTTCCAATGCATGAGTCAGATCTTTAACAACTGAAGAGGTAAGATTTGTCACAGTTCAGCCAGAAAAATCTGTAAGGGGGCATGCCATCAAATTAACAGGCTGCAACTCCACAGTCATATTTCTGAATCATGAAAATGAAAACCCCCCCAAAAAACATTAGGTTTGACAGAAGTGCATTGTTAATAAGCACTGTATGAAATTTCTAGCACATCATATAAGCAAAAGTGTGTGGGTAACATATTGCTTTTCCATCTAACACAACATATAATTAATCAATTATACTACAATCCATTTATTGTGTTTTGTTTGACAAATTCAGAAATTGACAAACTATCAAAATGATAACATTGGTTTAACCAGATATAAAAAAGGACATCAGCTATAAGATTTTTTTTCTCTATCCAGACCCCTGCTGGAATTTCTCTATTTTGATTAAACCAGCAAATGATGAACAGTTCTCACAAAAACATTTGATTTTAGTTTTACAATTCAAATAAAAGTAGCAAATTGAAAACACATATGTAACAATAAAATTTTATTTACGAGGTAATATCTTCCTTTTGACTTCACCTTCAAATTGGAAATGCTGAAAAGCTAATCTAGCTGTGGAATTTAAGCGTTTCTGTCGTTTCTCCAACTTAATTTCCAGCACAAAACATGCATTGCTTTTTTTTTATGAGACATTACAAGAAAACCGATTAGGCCATCCTATAACGTAAAGAAAAAAAATCAACTAAAGTTTCGGTTTGTATATATTTTAACGTATTTGCTAAGAATCACTTTGGTCAAGGTTACTTTTAATTCTTGGTAGCAGCTACTAACATATTAATGTTCATAAGGTATAATTCTAATGCACATAATGTGGTGGCATTTAATCAGTCTTTAATAACGCAAAAATCCATTCAAAGCAAACTAAAAGGAAAGGCTGTAATTAAATGGTAGCCCATAGGCTGCAAACTATTTTCATTATTAGTCTTCTCTCACATCTTTGCATTGGTTTATGATGCACATTGGCAAGGTCTTTTCTTATTTTCGGCCTTGAAATCTTGTAGTGCTGTTGTCTGTTAATGTCAGGTGGATTTACCTCCCACATAATTCTATACATTTAGCCTCTGTGTGACAGACTGGCCACGAAAAGCTTCCGCTGCTCGATTTAAAGCACATGTAATAATAATAATAATAATAATAATAATAATTGCTTACACTTATATAGCGCTTTTCTGGACACTCCACTCAAAGCGCTTTACAGGTAATGGGGACTCCCCTCCACCACCACCAATGTGCAGCATCCACCTGGATGATGCGACGGCAGCCGTAGTGCGCCAGAACGCTCACCACACATCAGCTATCAGTGGGGAGGAGAGCAGAGTAATGAAGCCAATTCACAGAGGGGGATTGTTAGGAGGCCATGATTGATAAAGGCCGATGGGGAAATTTGGCCAGGATGCCGGGGTTACACCCCTACTCTTTTCGAGAAACACCCTGGGATTTTTAATGACCACAGAGAGTCAGGACCTTGGTTTTACCATCAGGATGGTGCCTGTTTTACGGTATAGCGTCCCCGTCACTATACTGGGGCATTAGGACCCATGTGGACCGCAGGGTGAGCGCCCCCTGCTGGCCCCACTAACACCTCTTCCAGTAGAAACCTTAGTTTTTCCCAGGAGGTCTCCCATCCAGGTACTGACCAGGCTCACACCTGCTGAGCTTCAGTGGGTTGCCAGTTGTGAGTTGCAGGGTGATATGGCTGCTGGCATGTAGCATCCAAAACAAGAAATACTGCCCTGTTAGCAACCGCACCTCTCTCTTGTTATCTCACTGCAGCTATAGCCCGCTCCAATGACCCTGTCCTGTGTCTTCACGCTCAACCTCTTGAAACTAAGCTCCTCAACATAAAGGGAATGTGTGCTCAAGGTCTAGTGGTTACCATTAGAAAGCTCAAAGGCCCTTGGCCAATCACAACGGGATTTTTCTTTCCCTTGGTAGAGGAATCCGTGTAGCCATACTACCTAAACAGCACAGGAGGAGAGCGGAAGGGCACTAACCTGCGATAAGCAGGGTGTCCATTCTAGGAGGGGGCTGGGGTGGCTTGAACATCTTGCTCATGTCCTCCTCAGGCAACAGAGGCTCTCCCCGGCTTTGCCTCTGTGCATTCTCCTGCTGCCGTCTCTGGAGATACTGTGGGAAGAATGAGAGGGAGAGAGAAAGACATGTGAAAAGGAGTCAGTACTAATCTGATAGTTATTCCTTGTTTCATTAACCTCTGCCATGCCCCGAGCTAATCTAATTATCCTGTGTGCGTGTGGGGGGAATTACCTACGAGTCAATCCATCTGAAACTGGTGGAGATATTATAATCGCAGTCACTGACGGATGCACTTGGGTGGCCCTGCAAATGCAGCTTTCACACAGTGGATACAGAGAGTGACTGCCAATTGCATGAAAGCAACTTAAGCCACAAGTCCTGCAAATGTGTCTATAGAGAGCACTAGCACAGAACTTAATGACTTACCAGTTTTCCCTATGGCCTCCTTCATTTCACTCCTTGAACCAAAGGATGCATTAGCCATAATGTATCTCTACCAGACACCGCAAAAACAAGCTTTCTGCTTCAATTAAATTGTCCATGCGCATGGAAAGTAACAACTGTTTCTGCTCCTTTTTGAAATGGGGGGGGGAAATGCTTTTCTTCCAGTTATTTGCGGAGGATGTGTAATATTTCTTTTTCCAGAACCGCACACGGTTACTAGGCTACATTTTCATAAAAGACCATCACAAACACAAACAACCGTCATCCCCATGAATAAGAACAAGGTTAAAAAAAAAGACAGCACTCGTCTTCTGATGTTAAGCCCACATGCAAAATCAACAGTGTCATAAAATATTAATTAACAGGTGTCATAACAGGAGAAATGAGGGTTTTCCAATTCTATCCAACCACCTTATTAGAATGGACAGATCACCTGATGTCATTTGTACATTTGGGAGCAGAATTAAAAATTGATTCTCCTGTGCTGGATTGCACTGTTTATGTTAAGTGAAAATTAATGACACATGCCATATCCAACAGTAAACATATCTGACCTGAGGAAAAACAAAACCCAATGCAATATTACACTTAAGGGAGAGATGATGGTATTTCACCAGTCTCCCTTAAAAATCCAAGTTGCAATATTCATTTTGTATGAGGGAAAGCGCTGTGGAAGCAGGTATGCTCCCTCATTTTAATTGTATAGCACAATAATGAAACTTTATGTATTCTGCCAGAGCTGCTGCTTTCAGTGCCGTCCCCTTGGATGCCTTTCTGAATCATCTCGATGTGCTTTTATTTCCCCCCCCGTTAAATTACAGTCAAACTTTGATAAGATCACACTGTCAGAAATGGACACGTTTCTTTCTCGGCTTTAATGAGATTGAGCTTTGCATTGGAGAGTCACAAATTCAAGGTTATGTGCTGTCAGTGCAAAGAGTTTTCTGGGAGGGTTGCAGAAGAGAAAAGACTGGCATTACAGCAGATACAAATTGCAGCAGATACAGACCATCATATTCTATCGGAACAGAAGGCTGTGCTCTCTTTTGTAGCAAAGAATTCCTCAGCCATAAAATGGCATACTTTTCAATGGACCTGCTTTCATAACAGTACAGTCTTAATGAATGTATGTATATGTGAATATATAGAGGCATATAGAGGAATGTTAAAATGTTAAAGATTAAAATGACTCAAAAACACTCCAAGCTGTCTACATAATTGCTGTGTTTGAGCAATGAATAGGATTTTGTTTCTATGCATGGTTACAGTCAAAGCTGCCTGATGTATGTTTTTGCCTTTTTTCCACTGTATGCTTATTTCACTTGCCTTATCTCCAAGTCAAAGCTGTTTCATTCCATACTGCATTCATGTCGTGTATTTTACAACTGAATCTGTATATGCTGACAATGAATTTCATTATACCTTTCCTGAGAGGAAGTGTCCAAAAGCCCTACTAAAAGAATTGTGCATTCTAATTACTGAAATGAGCTAAGCATGTCAGCCAATGTGTTTTAACAAGTACCGGTAGCTAAAAGTCAACAGAATGTCAGAAGCACAGACCCCCTAATTACATTGGTGTGGTCCATAAAGTGATGTTCTTGCGAGGACAACGGTATTTTAATGTACCCCTCCCACGCGGAGTAAAACGTTAACGTATTTTTACAGTAAAATGCATCTATCATGTGACTCAGCAGTTCCTATGCTTGCACTACAGTGCACTGTAGTGAGGTTTTCTGACAACTGGATAATGTAAATGCCTAAAAGAAAAAGAGAATATTAAATAAATTATTCAAAAGGTAGCACTAATTCTTATCATTTTTGACAGAATCTGGTAACAAGAACACATTATAAACATTTATGACAGGATGTATTTATCTTTAATTCAAAGTGTAAATGTAGTGTCGAATCTGAAAATAGTTTCAGATTCTTATTTGGTACATCCATTCAGTGAAAGAAGCTGCACAACAATGCAGGATATCTTGGCTTTTTAAAAAGTTTTTGACTTTGGAAGAATATTCTAGTCAATTCAGAAGTAGCTTCAGGGGGCGTTTTTAATGATATAGGCCTAGCTGTCTTGTCCTCTATGGAATCCAAGGGCACTGCATGAAGGAATTAGAAATACCAGCATGCTATTCTGATTTTATTTTCTCTACCACACAAAAGAAAAACAATAACATAGAAGTGAAATCAAAGAACAGTCATGATTAGGGCAATAGTCAGTGAACGCATTGTTAGGTAGAGGTTATAAAGCATTCACTCTTCTCGTTTAGCCATACGAATGAAAGCTAAAGGATAAATCTTAAAGATACTTTTTAACCAAATAACACCAAATTGCAGAATATTGGGGAAAAGTAAAGAAGAAGCGTTTTTTTTATTTGTTTCTGACAGTCGATGTCTTTCTTCAGATACACATCTAAGGAGGCCTGGATCCCTATGAGCCCAGAAAAAGTATCTTGCTGCACTCATATTTGAATTATGAAAGAGCAAGTACAATCTGAAACATCTACCAATGTGCAGTATTTCACAAATGTAATCTTATCACAGTTTCACTGTACTTCTCTTCCACTGTACTGAAAAGCTACATTTTTACATTTACATTCACATTATAATTAAAAACATGAATTTATAAAAGCCAAATTAAATACAATCCTCTTTCTTAAGTATTATGAGATTTGTATATTTTATGTTCTAGGTTTTAATGTGGTATTTGATGAACAGAGTGCAGTATGAAATGTCAAAGACTTCGTGTTTTCTTGGCATTACATTTGGTTAACCGTATCATAACACTACACTGAAGGTCTGGGAAAAGAATAACAAATGACTGAAGGCGAAAATTAACCTCTGTGAATTAAAAGGGCCTATAAAATGTGTGTTCCAAATGTACTCATTTTTTCTGTATATTTTATATTTAAAAGCAGCATAATGAAAGTTGCCCAGCTGTGTGAAATTATATGAAGGAGTTGTGAAGTCAGAGCTGCAGCTAGCTTAACTGCTACTTAAATAAACATTTCACATGTAATCTCTTCTTTTTTAAGCCATGGAAGATGAATGTCTGACAGAATTAACATTCAGTCCCACGTAGCCTATGTTTAAAAAAGATATGCTATGTTCATAATACATATTACTGATATGGTATCAAAGTTGGACTTAAATGCAGCTGTCTTTTACAATAATAAGTATTGACAAGTATTAAGTTCTGTTCATTTACCCATTAGTGCAGCACTACATTCGCTTTAGATGCACGTATATTAATAAAATGCTCAGGAATGACAACTTGTACCTCTCGGATTAATATTAAGACAGCAGAAATAACTGCTGAATCTTTGCTCATGTAATCGCCTATCTTGCATGTGCTACAAAACTCTTTTCCATGAGAGTTTTGCAGTGGATGAAAGCTGCTGCCCTCGAGGGCTGCCAACAGAGTTTTTATAAGGATGTTAATTCCCAGCTCTGCACTTGCAAATCATATCAAAATGTCTTGTGATGGAAATGTGGCGGCGAGGAGGTTTCTGAGGGAAGCTCTTGGACTGCTTTCAAGTACCTGGTGTTTCTGCTGCTGCTGCTTGCTGACATTCCTGCTGTACGTGTTGTATTTAACTATATCCTGGCTCATGTCGTCCACTCTGTCCATAAGCAGCTGGAGGCTCTTTTCAAGATGATTGCTGTGGGGAGGGGGAAAAAAAATCAAATTTAAAGCACAAATTGAGTGTAGAGGACAATATATAATAACAAAAAGTACAACTGACTCACATACACAGCAGTCTTTCTCAATGCTTTGTAAGGCTCAAGGCCGAAGCGTAACTGAGTACAATTTCTAGAAGGAAGCCATTGTTTCCCATTATATTGAAAATGCATATAGAATTCCCTGATACCACAATATTTCAGCGGGTTGTATTACATTGCGGCATTAATACAGAATTTTGTTTGGGAGGGTGAACTCCAACATTACAGAAATTATGTTTAATAAAATCCCCCCTTTCCCCCCTTGCTTTTCTAAGCCGAGCGAGAATGAAATCAGATCTTCATTTTTCCTTGTTACGTGTGGCATACTTCCACACAAGTCATCAACAAATGGTTAGCCAGATCAATTTTCAGAAAATTCTGTGTTTTTTTAACATTGATTCTAGGAAAATAATTGCTTATAAAAAGAAAAATAAAAGACTTTCATCAACTACAGCAAACACCATCTTTACAAGAGGCTGAGGCATTTTCACATCTTTGCTAGATCAAAACATTGATATCCAAATCGCTGTCAAAATAAAAGAAAAATCATGCACTATGAATTTAGAATTTATATCAAACTGTCCTTAAATATACTATTTCATCACAATCACATGTTGTGAATATTTCTTCTCATGCTCTAAATTTAAGACAACTTTGCAAGCTTTGTTTCGCCATTACTACAGCCTCATACAGCACATTTTCTTCATTGCCAGCAGGATGGTATGAAACCAGGCCACAAACATTTTTGTAAACACGGTTTAGAGATCCTCTGCTTGCAGAGCTTTGATATTTCAATGCATTCACCAAAGCACCAGGCAAAAATGTTACTTTCTTGCTCAGAAATGTTCCCTGATATTACAGTTTTAGGGAATTCTATACTCGCTTCCAGTATGGAAAAAAAAAAAAGACATTTTCTAAAATCCTTCACTGCAAACCTGTGCTATTAAATGATTTAAAAGTGCCCCCGATTAGCAACAAGCTTTTCAGAAAGCATTTCATGAACGACCCTGTTTTGTTACTTTTATGTGCAGCTTCTTTTTTTGTTTCAGAGATTTTATAAACCATATTTTTTTCCACTCATTATTTACCTGTTAGCATTTCAAACATATCTCTGACTATCTACAACTTCCTAGCAGCATTCTCAAATCTTACTCCCATTTACTGAACTACAGGAATAGACGGCGTGTCCCATGACAAATTAGCAGTGGGGCATTTGCAACTTCAGACCTGTAAGTCTTTTAAGTCTTTTCCCTTCGATTCCCCTCACCTCACTTAATCCTGTTGGAACCACATTTGAAGACAGTGTTAATCTGTATTAAGTACAAACTGGTGAAACAATATGTGCTATTAATCTTCTGTGTAAATTCTGTCTAAGACTGATGGGGAGTTCTGACTCCTTAAAAGGACACACAAATATCATGCTTCTAACCACAATTAAGAAAATCAAAACAAATTACATGTAATGTATTTTAAGTATTTAAAAAATCCTGTTCTTTTCATCTACTGTACTTTAGTCCATATGTAGCATCCTGAATCTAACGAACATTTCCACAAAAATCTTTATTAGTATCCACAGAACTTTCTAGGATATCAGAGGTGAACAGCATGCTGCTATTCTTTGGATGTTTTTATCAGTTTAACTTCATTGCCTTTTGCCGTTTCAAGTACAAGAAGTATTGTAGCAAAAACAGCTTCTAAGAAACTCTCATTCAAGATTTATAGTAAACTTTCCAAAGCCTTTTCTAGAAGGCACTTCTGTTGAAACTGATAGTTATCCCTACAAATGACAGCCTGAACACATGCTAGGATGTACAATAGGAGAATGCAAAATGAAGACTTAAAGTACTCATTTAAAATTTCCCATCTAATGATTTACAAGTACTTTATATTCATTGCATAAGGGTCTTAGAAGATGGTTCTTGGAGATGTAAAACTAAATACAAATTACTGCAATTTTAAGGAAACAAGTCTGAAGTGTGTTCATCTCTCAGATGCCACTGAACATTCCCTATTGCAATGGGGTACTTGTCACCTCAAGTCTTATGCAATCTGATGTGCGTCTGCTTGCCAATGGCTTCCAATGAAGAAAAAAAGATTAAAATATATAAAAGCTGGTGGTTTAAACAGCACCATCAAGGAACAAATAATGTGTTTTGCAGATGCAGCAAATTCGCTGATGGAACAAGAAAATGAATAATGCCTGAACAGCCTGGTGGGAAGAACATATTAATTTCTCAAAGAGCCTCATATTCTAGGCCAGTCTGTATCAGTTCAGATGCATTTTCTCCCATCCCACAATTCCTGTAAGTATTTCCATACCTGCACAAATAACCAAATTAAAACAACCCTTAGCGTTGGACCTCTGCCCCTACTAAAAGTATGTATAAAAGCAATGAACGAGCCCAGAGAGACATAAGCCTTAGTTTAACCATTGTCACAGAATGGAAAACTGGATTCTAGGCTGCACATGAAACAAAGCTTAAGAACCACCAAGAGAATCAATCAGTCTAATTTCCCGTTCTGTTGATACAAAAATGCATTCAAGCTAATCTGCTTTGCACAGGGATAAGAAATAGTAATGACTTAAAACTAAAACAATAACCTTGGATAAAGCAGCTAGGCCAAAATAGAAAACGGCAAAAGAAGAAATACAGATAATGTATTTCACCCTTATATGAAAATAGTTGGGTCTACCAATATTTGTTAAACCCACACTGTAAAAACCTTCAGATACTCCCGAATTCACATTTACCAGGCTATACATCTTAAAAAGAGAAATAAGCAAACTTTGTTCTGAACATACTATTATACTAAATTGTACAGCACCCCACAGTCCTATGACAGTGCTACCAGACTACAACAGTAAACTTCAATATCACCGGAATTGCAGTCTGCAGGTAGAAATGCATTAAACGTAACAATAGCCAAGGAGGTTTGTGCTGTGTAAAGTAGTTGATGTACTACACCTCTGTCAGGGGATGTTCCAGTAGGCTCTATATGTATAGTGGGGATAGGCAACATTGTCTGTGGACTCTGGGACTGTAAAGTCATCAACTATTCTGCAAAAAAATACATAAAAGGCTTATGGCAGATGAACGAAAAAAGAATCAGCTCTGCTTTGGCTTGTCTTTCTGACTTGCACATACCTCATAGAAGTCTAGACATGTAAATAGTTCAGTCCAGCAGGAACCAATCGTAATAAAAACAATGATAAAAAAATAGCACCACAGAATGCATATGTTCAGTTCACCTGAACATACGCTATTATATATACTGTATTTTCAGCACAGATACTACAGAAAGTACTGTACAAAACACATCACCTGAAATACCAGGGATACTTTAATTATATATAGTAGTGACGGTAAAACTCCTATTACCTTCACTATCACTGTTCAGTACAGCTATGCACACCATAATGTTTGCAGAACAGCAGGTGGTGCATATAAGCAAATAGGCGTGAAATGTTAATTTAGATGTGAAATATCATGTATTTTACAAATCAAAAGGTAAACAGCCTATTCACATGGTTTGGCACAAATAATCGTTCATCTATATGAGCGAGCCTACATATGCAACAAAAAAGTCAACATTTCTCAGTGGAGAATAAAGACTGCTCTTTTAGCTTCAACCTTGTTGTGTGCAAGCACTCAACAGCAAATGGGTCTAGATTTTATAAGAGCACTACTGATATAAAGCTGATGTTACTTTCACATTATCCCATCACTGTGTAATTTGATGCTACAGCTGTACCATCGCAGCGGACTCCTCAACAAGTTGTCGAAAATGTTTGAAGGACATATTTATTGCAGCCATTAGAAGAGTTGAGGTTTCCTTAAAACCGTACAACTGAAAGGCTTTTAAATCTCGGTTCATGGAATTAAAGGCCGGAGAGTGCTACAGAGGAGTAAACATTGTCTGAAACTAGGAATAAGATGAAGAGTCCTCATCAACAACTGTCTGGTGAACAGAGGATGCTCCAAATACCACCAAGGAATAAATGCATGCATGAATCCTGTGGCACATTTAATTAGCGCTCTACATCTGAAATTCCTCAAAACTTGGTTTCCTATTGGTTTAAAAATGAGAACAACAAAAAAGCCCCGCTCTGCTAAATGACTCTAGGCATCATTTAAGACAGAAATACTGACTACATCAAAGAAGATTAAAAGAAATTTAAGCAAAAACATCTGATTCAAACAAACAGTAAAACAAAAGATGATAAAAGAATACCATCGTTCAAAAGACAATACTTCAATGGCCACAAACTCAACATGCATTTCAAAAGCTTTCGTAAACAACAGAAAGAAAAAATACTGATCTCATACACACAGAAAAAAAAAACAGTATAAGGTTTCAAAGCCGCTTACAAGAAATAAATAACAACAGCAGCTGGAAACTTGTTGTGAGCCAAAGAATCTAGCAAAGAAGCAAAAGTCACAGCCTTAGACACCACCACAGGCAGGAGACAGGAGACTGTATTCTAAATAAATTATTACCTCATTATATGAAGACACAGGAGAACATCGGAAAGCTGGATCTATCCCACATATTGGGCTGCCACCTGGCTCCCAGAAACCCAATTCCAACCCAAAGATACAACAATGGATGTCTAGACTGTGGAGTTCCTGACACAAACTTGAGATAGTTCTTTTTAAGTAAAAAAAAAAGTTATTTGTGCACGTCTTGTCTGATGAGCATTTTCAAAAGCATTCAAAGCTCACCTGTTCTACAGAGGGACAAGAAGAAAGTGATTCGGGCATTATTTGAAAATTTGAAAAAACATTGAGCGACTTTAAAACACTGAAGTATTTTATACATTAAAGAAGCAATTAAACGTTTTTTTGCTTTTCATGTAACAGTTCTATATATAAATACTGCTTAACTAGTTAACTATCATTACAAATTATTTTCTAAGCACTTTTCAGTGTTTTCCAAC